CCCCACCCACACCCTTTATTTTCTGCAACTTGAAAGTTAAATTCAGACAGTATTTTATTACAGAGCAGAAAAAAAAATTAATTCATTTTGAATACTTCTTTTACTTATTCATTACATAGAAGCCATGCGATTTGTAATAGTTTTGTTTTTCAACGTCCTCTTTTCATGTGTGCAAGGTATTTTAATTTTTTTCTATTCTTATTTCATTATTTCATAATATAAAAAAATATTTAGGTCAAACTACAATAGCACCTAATTACTATTGTAATGATAATAATGATGTTGTTCAATTTACATTGTCTCCATCACCTCATTCGGCATGGCAACCAACATTAAATTGTTCTTTACAACAATGTAATACAAGCTCCAATGATAATAACAATTGTCGTTCATCATCAACACCTTGCTACAATTATTATACACTTAATAATGTTAGTTATTGTGCACCTGGTATTCTATGTTCAATTTTGGAACCCTGTGACAATATTACCTATAATTGTGCATCAAATACTTCCGTATGCGTAGTTAATTCGTGCTGTTCTCCACAAGCAGTATGTTTACCATTGTCATCGATGAATTTCTGTAAATTAGGTAAACAACATATATTACTTCAATTTATGAGTGTATTTGAAGCCAAATAAAATATTTTATTTGGATTCTAGTTGAAACTTGATTCTATTTTACTAATTGACGATTGAATGAGTCTTATCATAAAGGATAAAAAAACATAAATCAGAGAAATCAAGTTACGGATGAGAAAGAACAGAAAATGAGATGAAAAATCGAAAAAGATTGAAGTTTACAAACATAATCAGAAAATAAGAGACTGATTGATACCCTATGTAAGTCGATTAATAAGTAAGTGATTGATTCTGTTATAATCTAAAGCTTTGTTTTTCTTTTTAGTTGTATGTATGATAGTAGCAAGGTTCAGAAAAATGTTTGTCTTCAAATGTTTTGATTGTTCAATCTAGAGACATATGAAATCAGCATCCTTAATGTAGACAAAGATATTATTTATATTAGATGCATTCATATTTCTGATTTGAGATGATTTAATTAGGTACACTTTCCATATATTTCAGTAATAATAACTGGAGAAATGCTAAACCATATCAATGATAATAGTTTCCTTGTCTTAAAAATAAAATTTTACAGATAATTTAATTGGCTATCTTCATGATATGCTTAGTGAATTTGATTATATTCAAAATTGTTTTAAAGATAGCATTCTTTAGTAACATTAGTATTGACAGTAAATCTATTGCATTCAATGACAACATAATCTAAATAATTAGATCTAAATTGACAAGATTTTCATATGAATTACTACAGATTAACAAAAAATCGTGTGGGAGTACTCCATCGAATATCTCGTTTTAAACTACTACGAACTTTGGTCTATTTAAATATGATTGATTAAAAAAAAAGTATTTGAAATAAAATTTCTTTTATTCAACCTCACTTTCGATATGTTTTTAAAGCTTTTTTTTGCTGCTCTTGTCTTTTAAGAATAATAAATTATTCGTATATTGCAAGTGATTTAGTCGATTATGTCAATTTTTAATGTTAATTTTTGCGAAGTATGTTAATCATTCAAAATAAAATTTAAAAGAAAATATTTGTTGACTTGAGTTACTTTGAGCACTACACTCACATGAGTCTTTTATATAACCAGTATTGATCTTGGTTTTCGCCGTCTGGATCCGCGATGTTATCAAGTTAAATTTCATATCTATATCAGTCATTATGTTGACAGTCAAACCAATTTTGTTTTCTGTTGGACACATTTCTCGACCTTTTCTTTTTTCAATGATAGCTCCTTTTTAGTAAACTATTACCAACACATTAACGAAAACATCTACTTATTACAGTAGTCAGGCCAAGAAATACGAGAAGATTTCCGCCAGAAGATTCTAGAAAACGATGGAACTTGGAGACAGTATGCTTGGCGAGAAAGTGTTCGGATTTTTGTAATGATTTCCACATAACTTCTTGTTCTTTCCAACTCGGAATACTGCGTCCAAATTCCATTAATTTTGATGTTTTCCTGCGGGATGCAATGATTTTTCTGCATCTTTCAAATCGGTTCCGGTAAGAAAGACTTTTCCCGCAGTCTGGAATCATCTACCTAGAAGTCGATATGATTCAATGCGCTTCATTAAAAGAAACCTATCACAATTAATAGTATTCAAGAACTTAAAAATAATACAAATTCCTCAATTATTGAACTACCATTACAGGCACTATGGTGATTTATTAGGGAATCGAAGAGAAGTCACGAATTGTAATAGCTTGAACAATGCATTTTCTAAAACCATTTTTTACAATCATGAATTCCTTTTTACAGAGGTCTCCGTTATTCTTGATGTAAGTCCGACAATTATCAGGGATAATGTGCTATTTTGAATTTGGGAATCAGAGAACTATGAGGAAATCGCGGAAAAATTCCTATATCTGCCAGTACTATTTCTATTCTTCGATTATAGGTGCCTGAGTTTGTATACCATTGACAAATAGACTAATCCATATAACTGCTAGAATGACTAATTCAAAGTGAAACTCTTTATCGACCTTTTATATCAAATGTCTGTTGACGACAATGAAAAATCATTACACTTCTCCCTACCACAGCCTAAAGAATTTCGCGCAAAAAAGTTGAAACCTATCTTTAGTCTATTGAATGTTAAAATGTTTTGCACTTTAAGGTACCTTACTGAAAAATCTATTTTTACTCCAGAACAAAGATCTGGCTAAAACTTTGAACGAATATGTGTGCGGGTATGTGTAGCACGCAGTAAAAATTCCAGTTCGAAATATATCATGGTATCAAGGGTCAAAAAAGGATGTCTCCATATTTTAAGGATTTCTCTTTTGAATCTAACTATACAGGGTTCAGGTTTGTGTTAAAATGTAGCAGATATCTCTCACTACAACCTAACAAGGTCCAATTTTTCAAAATTTTGTTTCTTTCCTTCTGATGAAAACTTACCTTAAAAAATTTGCAAAGATTAGGGTAGCCCTACAGAGAAAAATTCAGTTTTTCCGAGAAGTAAATCAAAAATGAAAAATTCGGCTCTCTTAAATTGTAGAGCGCAATTTTCTTTTCAATTTAAAACCTTCTCAAGCTTTCTAGCACGTAAAAAAGCCGAGAAATCTTGGAGAAACAAACAGTAAAAAAAAAAAAAGAAAGAAAAATCAATTTCGAGAAAAATGCTTCATAAGTTTTGCGTTTCAAAAACTCGATGTTTTTTTCTTTATAAAGCAGTTAGGAAAACCATTTGAAGAACTTTCGAAGGTATATGGTCCACATCTGAGAGCGCACGTTAGTCATATTCTCCGTTGCCAGAATCCTACAGAAGTGCTTAAACTATTTGAACACATTGTCTTCGAATCAATTTTTCATTAAGATATTGCCACAGAGCTTTCTGTAAAATCCTCAAAAATCATGATAAAATCGAGAAATCATATTAAGCTTGAGAGTAGAAATTTTTGGCTGTTCAACCATGGATAAAGCTCGAAAATCGATATTTTTGACAAAAATGAGATTTTGTGAGTTGGGAGACTTAAGTAAAAAAAACAATTTTCATATTACAATATTTTGAAACAGTTCACCTAAGTACAGATAGTCTTGTGTGTGTTCGTTAATGCTCAACTTTTCAGCCTGAATATATTCAAATGGGTCTTCTAGGATGGCTTAACACTGGTAATATGAATAATGCACGATATGTGCACACAGCATCCCTATTAACAAATGGAAAAGTTTTAGTTACTGGTGGATGGAATTCTAGTTATGTTCTAAATAGTGCTGAGCTGTATGATCCATTAACAGGAACTTGGACAATGACTGGTAATATGAATAATGTACGATCAGACCACACAGCATCGGTGTTAACAAATGGAAAAGTTTTAGTTACTGGTGGATCGAACGGTAGTGCTGAGTTATATGATCCATTAACAGAAACATGGACAATGACTGGTAGTATGAATAATGCACGCTTTGCACACACAGCATCCGTATTAACAAATGGAAAAGTTTTAGTTACTGGTGGACGGAATGGTCTTTCTTATCTAAATAGTGCTGAACTGTATGATCCATTAACAGGAACTTGGACAATGACGGGTAATATGAATAATGTACGACATGTACACGCAGCATCCGTATTAACAAATGGAAAAGTTTTAGTTACTGGTGGATGGAATTCTACTTATGTTCTAAATAGTGCTGAGTTGTATGATTCATCAACAGGAACATGGACAACGACTGGTAATATGAATAATGCACGATATTGGCCCAGAGCCTCGGTATTAACAAATGGAAAAGTTTTAGTTACCGGTGGGTATGATGGCAGTTCTTTTCTAAATAGTGCTGAGTTGTATGATCCATC